AGATAGATAGACAGACAGACAGACAGACAGACAGACAGACAGACAGACAGACAGATAGATGAAGGAAGGGAAGGAAGGAAATTCATGGGAAGATAAAATGGAAGGGGAAGCACATTCAGACTTGGAAGATTCTGTTACATTTTAATAAAAGTAATTTTAAGACAGTGCAGGGCTGACCGCTTGCAGGGCTGATCTTGCAGGGCTGACTACTTATATGACCCCAATTGAGGCTAGAAAGAGACTAGGAGAGCAGTCTCTTTGCTTAAGCATTTCATTTTGAACATTAGAGTTCTTGATTTGGACTGCTGAGGATCCAAAGGATCTTTTTGTGGTTTTGTTTTCAAACCCTGTCCATGCCTGTTCAAGGGATAAAGAGAAGAAACTTCAAGTTCTCTGTACCTTTAGAGAATCCTGTGTTTGCTTTCGGTTACTCTCTAGCAATAGAAGCTCCCCAGCTCTAATTACAAGGGTCTCTGTTGGCTTTAGAACTGGGGTCTCCAAACTTGGCAACCTTAAGAATTGTGAACTTTAATTCCCAGAATTTCCTCGCCAGCATGGCATGGCATGGCATGGCCAAGGAATCCTGGGAGCTGAAGTCTACAAGTCTTAAAATTGCCGAGTTTGGAGACCCATGCTCTGGAGCAGGGTTTCTCAGCCTGCACAATTTTAATTTGTGGCTGGCTAGGGAATTCTGGGAGTTGAAGTCCACACATCTTAAAAGTTCTAAGATTGAGAAATACTGGCAATTTTAGAGCTATTTCCAATTTCTTCCAAAATTTGGTCCCCGGCTGGGGGAAGAGAAATTTTGCTGGTTTTTTTTTTTTTCCCCCAGTTCAGCTATGAGTCAGTGGAACATCCTGATTTGAGTGACTGAACTAAAACCGAAATGCCCTCCCCAACCTCCCAGATTCTGCCCAAATACGTTTGGCAGAAAGAATTGTTAGAAGCATGCGAATGTAGACAGATGCCTTTGGGTAACTGGTACCCTTTGTCAGGAAGCCTTCTCAATATCCCTAATCATTGACTCTGCTTACCAAGGCTTATTTGAGTTGGAATATAATCGTATATGAAGGATCAAAGTTCTCCACCGCTCCCTCCATTCGTTGTCCTTCATAGTTATGTCTTTCATGTTTGCTTACAGTTGGGATGGATTTCCTTCTGAGTAAACTTTCTAGAATGATGCTGTCATGCTTAAGCTCATGCTGTTGCTGACTGGTGAAATTCCCATATGATGTCAAGCTCTGGAGATACTGAAGTAACATTTGTAGTTTTTTGCCCCCAAATATGGGGTAATCAACAAAGCAGTGCCCTGCTGAAGCAAACCAGAATGATTAATGATGACCTTAACTGAGATTTCCCTCATTTTTTGCCGGCAGTCTTTCCCCAAGACATGGCCACATTTTGGACATTGCAAAGTTTGGGCTGTAAGATTTTTTTTCCCCCTTGAGTGCTAGTATCTCAACTTTTCTAATTTTGTGAAGGCCATGACAATCAAGTGTAGATATTACACCAATATCCTCTGCTATGTTTTGTGCACTGCAAATACAGATCTGCTTGACACTCCTAGATCTTATTTCTTTGGGGGATTCCAGACATGAGTTACCTTAGCAATCTTTCCCATTTCCAGCCAATTATGATGTGTAATAGAATTAGATTAAAGTTAACATAATGGCTAGCAAAAATTACACAGAGGGTGGTTACAGGCTATATATCCAGTGAGCAACTTATCATGAAGAGATTGTTACCTATTGAATGTTTAGAATATCCCAGACCTTTGATATTTTATGAAACTCCTTCATTGTGATCTGCTACTAGCTTTTGTCCATCTTTAGGAATGTTTGGAAATATAATATTTTGTTATACGTCAATCATTTTGGAGCAGAATAACACGAGGTGTAGTCATAGCAAAGAAGGCAATTATAATAAATGACTCAAAGAAAAATTGATGTTTGCTTTGAACATGTGGTTTAGGTATAAGGGTTTATACAGAAACATGACAAGGAACATAATTTTCAAAAAAAAATAAAAATATTTATACCAATAAAGGAGACCATTTGTAGCTCAGGATTGCTCTCTGACTTTGGTTGTTTTCTTGCAGATGTTTCATTAGCAAACTAGGTAACCTCATCAGTTCTAGCAAGGAGTAATAGAGAGAGCAAACCCCACTCCTTATTAGCACTGATGATGTTATCTAGTTTGGGTAATGAAATATTGCGGCTTTGCTCCGCATTTGGAAGGCTTCTCACTGGGTGGTCGAATGCATCAAGAAAGACACCAACGCAAGTTCTATCTTGGGTGAGCTGCCCCGATCAGGGTTGGGGGAACTCTTTTTATTGGGAACACACAAAAGGGGTGAGTTTCATCCAATCATTATGTTACATGCGTAGGAATGTTAGTGGATGCATCGCATCTCCCAATAACAATGCCATGGTAAATTTAAACTAGCAAACCAAACTGCATTTCAGTTAACTGCCCTTGTGACGTGTTTTATGGCCTTGTTTCATGTGTCTGCTTTCAGCCTACGTGAGACCTGGCATGCACCGGAACCATTGAGGTTGCTCACGTGAGGCTTGGCACACAATGGAATTGGCCCATTACAGCAAAATATGTGCAAGAAAACAACCAAACTCATAAAGTGCCAAGAAACCCTAAATTGATTGGTAATGAGAAAGAGAGAAATATTAAGGAGAGATACAAGGGGATGAGAGATTCTCAGTTCTGGATGGACCACTATTGGGTAAATGACAAAAATGGATTGAATGAGAAGGATGAAGGAAATGTAACGAGCATGAAAGTACGGCAGAGGAAAGCAAGAACAGAAAAATGCAAATCTTGTTCTGTTGGCAGCCTAACACCTCAAAATAGAATGAATGAAAATGGGCTCTGGGAAGGAGGATGTGGAAATTAGAACAGTGAAAAGATTTGTGTGACAAGAGTGTGCATGTGGAGTTATGCAAAAACAGTTGCTTATTAGAATGATGAATCAGAAGAAGCTATTGATGAAAAACTGCAAACAAGACATGGATGCTAATAAAGGGAAATAAAGATATTGCAAAATATCTATGGAGAAATAGTTGCAAATAATGTAGATTAGCACAAACATGTTTTGGAAGTGAGTAAAAAGGAGCCCAAAGAGAGTTAATGGAATGAAAAATAAGAGTGATCAGATGTTTGGGAGGTATTTCAAAGATTCATATAGGAATGATAAAAATTGCAAAAATATTAAATATATGTGGCTTGTGCAGCTGGCTCTGCAGCTCATTTAATAAGTGAAAATTGTTTCTGCACCTGATGAAAAATGCATTTTCTATGTTACTGGTTCTCAAATTTTGCAACACTATCAGCCTCTGCAATAATAAAATGAATTTTTGCAACCCCTCCATGAACAAAACTAATGATTTCACTGAGCTGAGTGGTTGGGTCATAAATAAACACACCCTGTATATTAATAATTCAATCTCAATCTATATATCATGTACAACTTCAGACTTACAACTTCATAAACCTGTTTCATTGGAAATAAGCAACTGAAAAATCGTCAAGAAAATTCAAATACATATTTTAATGGTAAGGAGGAAGTTACTTTTGCAATTTCCTGAAATCTGGCCTTCATTTTCTTTTTTTTTAAACAAATTTTATTAATTTTTTAAAGACAAACAAAACATAAGACATAGGAACATAAAACCTCCTTTCTAAAAGCTACTTATAGGTTTTAACAAAGCAAATGAAACATTATTTTGTATAGCATAGTTCCAAATCATCACATTTCCATTTAAGCACATATATATCTTTTCCAAATTTCTCGTTATTTCTCCCTTTACTTTTATTCAATTATATTTCTTTCTATCAAGGTTTTCTTAATTCTCAATCAAACATAAACACACAAAATACAAAACATAAAACATAAAACTTCTTTTTGGAAAGTGGCTTAGCCCCGGGTTACATCTTTTTTACAGACCTAAATCAAATTCATGCTCACCTTATATACCATTATTTATCTTATTTACCATTCTATATTTTCTATATAACTTCTCCCTCTTTTCACTGGCCTTCATTTTCAAGACACCCCCCCCCCCCATTATTGTATAAAAGCAAGGGGGATCAGGGAGAAGGAAAGAAAAAGGTGTTTCTTTGCCACCATTCAACTGTTCTTCAACTACTCTTAAAATTCTGCAGCTTCCAAAAAAATGGCAGGCTGTAAATTAGTTGTGACACCCTTTCTTCCAGTACAACCACATATTCACTAGAGACTGTGCAGCAATTTGTCTACAGAGAAAGCATCAGGTCACATGGTCAGATCTTTGAAAGAATCTAGATAAGTAACCTTTCTGAAAAGTAAATGACAGGGTGCTAATTTTCCCAGAAAGGCTACCCAGGCTTTGCGAGGGATCGGGAAATTTCCGAGCATTCCTTTCTACACAACATACTTTGCACTGAACTGGTTAACCTATTTGAAAAGCAGTCTGAGAGAGGCACTTATGGGCAACTCTCCATCCATTGTCTTATGACACCCCCCTCTCTCCTTTGTGGTTGTGACTCATATCGAAAACCATACTATATACTAAGGAAAGGGGCACAAGGATAAAACCAAAAACTTTAAGGGGGGATAGTTTTATCAGAGAGATTTTGGCAGAATTCTGTTTGAAAGGCTGCAAGAAGAGAGTAAACAACATTTGTGAAGGGAAGTTTATGCTGGGCAGACCAACTTTTGCTGTTTGGCAAGTCATTGAGGAATGTACAAATGTGAAATAGTTTCAAATATATATATATATAATAAAGTGAAGAGGCCTTTAAGTGAATTATATCTTTCATTTCTTTGACCTATTATTATTTTTACTCTTTTTCTGCACTTGGTGTAAAACTACTTCTAGTCTGAATAGTGTGGTGGTTACATATGCATGTTTATGGCAATGTTTCTTACAATTTTCTTTAGTATTGCCAGGTATTAAGGAGACACTTCTTTCTATTTGGCTTTCTTTCAACTTCTGTTTTTATTTTAGGTTTAAACCTCTTAATATCTGCTCTCCTTAGTATCACAAGAAATACAATATATTCAAGAAGCTGACCCTTCCAAGACAATAGAAAACTCAGGAGACCCCTGCCTGGAATTTATAATAAAAAGCTGGAAAGCAAAAGGTACTTTTTGCAACTTCAGTGTTTTTTCTAATTATTTGTTATTTCCAATTATTTATTATTACTTATTCAGAAAGTAAAATCCTTGTTTCTTAGTCTGGGACAATTATAATTGTAATTATAACTGGTTATGTTGAATTTCTATTCCTTTTCTTTCTAAATTTATCAACTTTGCACTCATAAGCCACTTTTTAAATATTTTTATCTGCCTGGGTATTTTCAACCCTCCTTCTGCTTCTTACTGACATCTTCTATTCCTCTTTTTATTTCACTGCTGACTTTTAAGGACAATATACCAAATCATGTGCTTTGACAGATGTGGATTCTCTTTTTCATCTAATGATCAGGTGAGTTTCTGAGTGAATTTTGATATGCATATAATTATAATATATATATTATAATATATATATATATATATATATATATAT